CCTGTTTTCTTTTAAGTAACTATTATTGTGTATTTGTGTCCTTAATATTGATTTTATGCATTTCATTTTCTTGTAGTCTATGTAAAGTCAAATGTGGTACAAAAAGTAGGGATGTAAGGAGTAATATCTTCATGATGAACAGACTCACTTTTGATTCTTATATACCTACCATTTGATTTAGACATTATATGCAGCCATTCAAAAGGGTGAGGGTGACGAAGGCAGTTAGAGACTTTAACTTAGTAAACTTACTGCTCGGATATTAACACGAAGAGATGCAGCAGGACCAGAACGTAATAGACTCCTGCAGTCAGCATATTTCGTTTGATCAACTTCCAGAGATTTCCCTGTATACATAAAAACATCATGAAAGCAGAATTGCATAGTTAGAATATTAAATGCTATAAGAATGAAAGTCATGACTGTTCTTTCACAGTACACTGAAATACTGAATTTTAGAGTTGAAGGAAATGAAAATATCCTCTAAGGCAAATAGACGAGGAAACTAAAACATAAAATGATGGGATCATATAAACCCCCTTTTAAAAGTTAGTTTAGTTTAATGCATAGGAAGTTGTGACATTGTATGGATGTTGTATGTATGTATGTATGTTGTGATAAGTTCAAAAGCAATTATTCATGGACAACTGTCACAGCATACTAAAAACAGAGTTAGACACCTCAGTTATTAATTTAATTACTAAAAAAAGAAATTATGGATTTGTTTGGTGTGTAAACTTACCCCTAGATGGCTGAATATACACAATGATATAAAAATAATTGAAATGGCCTGATCATCTTGTAAATAAGACTTCTAAAGTTCTAAAAGCATCATTTCATGGTATGCATCTACTATATTTGTCCTAGTTGATGCAATGATGTTTGAATATTTGATCAAGGAGACTAGAGACATAATGACATAGATTTCAAGTGAGATGGAAATCTACCATGTAACTCTTTGCCAGCCTTAGTTCACTATGGAATGTATAAATTGTGAAACAGAAATCAGCATTACCTAATTGTTTGATCTGCAACTGAGCCAATAACACAGCTGGTACATAAGATTCCAGTGGTTCAAGCTTTTTCCTAGGTTACAAAAATATGGTGAAGTGTAAGATTGAAGTGACTGAATGGTGGGTATGAAAGATAATTGTCAATGAACAAGCATCAGAAAATATCGAGAAAACAAACATGCCACTATAAATTTTGAATTTTCTAGTGTTAAATCCAACAAAAGTAACACTTCAGAACCCTTCTCATGAACTGGAGAGCATGCAATATATTAAGTCTTGGTATACATTTTTTCCTGCACTTTTCTAGCTACATTTGACTTTCGCTTGTTGGATGTTGAAAAAGTAGAAAACTTTTCAACATCTAATAAGTTAGTTAACACTACACATTAATGTAGCTAAAAAATGTAGGGAAAATTTGTTTCCCAATCCTTACTCCATGTAATAGTACCTAGTACTTAAACACTATATAAAGGTGGAAGGAAGTCAAATACTAGAAAGAGAAGACTAAAAAGTGACAAGCCAAAGACAATGTTGAAAGGGATAGAAAAGAAAGACTACCAACTATGAAATCACAGTGAACGTTAAAATAGAATAGATAAGATAGTGAAACAATAGTGACTGTCGAAGAAGTTATTCCACGTTGGCTAACTACTCCCTGCATTCCAAATAAGGGTTCTGGTTTGCCATGGCAAGCTTAAGACAGCAGAAGTGTGTAATTAAGACTTATTCCAAGGAGAGAGATATCGGGTGAATTGCATAATTATTTTCAGAAAAGAAAATACGGAGTATGAACCTACTTTTGGGAAGGCGGGGAAAGATAAAATGACAAACTAATGTACAAATCTTTGGGGCAATCTTAGTCTTAATAGTAACAAGTAAGTGTGACAAAACCCACAAATTCCAGATTAAGATAGACTAAGGAAATGTGTTAAGCCATGATGCAGCATTCAACAGCCAAAAAATCAAAGCCTTATACTCGAGGTAGTGCAAAAGATATCACATGGAATCAAGGAAAAGAACATTCACCTTAATTCTAACCCCAAATGTTGATAGGAAATGGGTAATGTCCTTACATAGGACTATATCAGCAAAACATGACATTTTTCTTTACATAGGACTGCAAATAAAAATAGGAAAACTATAAAAGATTACCCCAAATACCCTTTTATTGTACGGTTTCCAACACTTGATAGCAACCAGTTCCAGACTGCTGCCAGCAGTCCAGCGCTGCCGGGTAGCCGCTGCCGGACCTTCAGTTACTGCTGGAAAGTCTGCAAGTTGCGGACCTCCGGTCACTTCCGGACAGTCACCACTCACCAGTCTAACCCAGGCAGCCACCACTAAACCCTAAGAGGAGGGATGGCAAAACACTGGAAATGCTAACCCAGTCCAAGAGGGATTGTTAAACCATAAGCACTAATGTTAAACTCTAAAGGGTAACTTAGGCTAATATCATTACCTTTTACAAACTAAGGATCATATACGTCCTGCTTAAGGAATATAACCTAGGTAGACCTGTTTTTGTAAAAAGGATAAGTTTTAGCCTTATGAAGAACAATTTTCTCATAGGAAATAGCTTGTAAAATAATATACCAACTGATCTCAATATATGGCACCATGTAATTTGCAAAAATCAAGAGTGCATTAGAATATCAACTCTTCACTTGTTGAAAAATCAGGCTTGCATTAAAACCATGTTTTTCTTTTTGAGCTTCCAAAAACCCGACTTTACTGCAAAATCTAACTTCAGATTCATTGAAAAAAATCTATCAAATAATTGAATCGCTCATCGTAATATAATTGCCTCTTTTGATTCATACCTCACCTTTTTACATATTTATCCAAACCGCTGCCGCCTACAGCCAGTACTGCCTCTGCAAAGGCACGAAAGTTCCCTCAAAATATTTTTTTGATTCCCCTTTCAATTACTTTATTTTAATTTTCAGCATAACAAAGAAGTAGAATTAGTGTTCCTTAACTCCTCTGTACAATAAGCATCTAGTTCGCAATTTAGTTTCTCACAAATAACCAAATTCAGAGGAAGGAATACCTTTCGGCACTGAGAACCAGAAGAGAAAGCCGGCCAGAGACACGGAGACCAACCTCCTGCTTTCCCGCCCTTTCTCGGAGCCCAATGCGCATCTCAATATCAAACACCGCGGCTGTCTTTTCGCCGGAAGCAAGCCCGAAAATTGCAAAAGAGAGCGCTGCGCAAATGGGCTGCAGACGTTAACCTGCGCAGGGAAGAGCGACATCTCGCCGGAAATTACTTCTACAAAGACAAAAGAAATGTAAGCTTATCCAAACTCCGTTTTTCTCCACCGGCGGCAGAGGCGTCTTGAGAATTAATAAAACTAAAAAAAATAAATAAAATGTAGTGAAAACATAACACATGAATAGTATTTAAATATATTACAAATCAAAAGTAACAAAGATAATAATAAAATCTATAATACGTTAGAAAAATGGTCTCATAATAGTTCTGCAAATCATTGATTTATAAGAGAAAATTCCAAAATAGGACCAAAAGCATTTGAAAATTCCTAAATAAGATTAATAAATATCCAGTTTGAAATATATTGTAATGTTTAAAATCTAGTATTGTCAAAACATGACAATATTTAATCATATTTAGAAAATGAAAACATAATAGTCATGTTTAGGACAATATCCTGTTTTATAATTGCATTTTCTCTAAGGGGAATAAAATATTGAAGGAGATTGGACAAGAAGCAAGAGTGGATAATTGTCATAAGGGTGGATCTGGTCCGGCGAGCCGGCTCAATTCAAAACTAGGTGCAACATTGTTTGGGAATTGGGTTCGGAAAATCCGGTCCTTGACGCCCATAGTTTGCCCAAGAATGTTACCCGATCCCAATTCACCCATTTAAAAACCACCCGAGTATCCGAAACCAGTTCAGACCAGAATTTAACCGCCTCCTACCAACGACAGGGACCGGCTGTTCCGGGACTGGCCATTCCGATGTCAGAACCGAGATCAGAACTTGGACCTGCCTGCCCCGGACCTGATTGGGTCCACTCTAATTGTCACCATACGCTTCTCATTTTCAAAACTGCTTGATGTACACACCCTTATACACACCTTATACACACCATGTTTGTGAAGCTTTTTTGTCTGTGAATCCGGTTCACAGACAATATTTTGTTTGTGCAAAACATTGTCTGTGAGTTGATGTTCACAGACAAAAAAAACATTTCACAAACATAGGTATGTACAAAAATGTGTATAAGAGTGTGTACAAAAGGCTTTTTTGTCTCGTTTTAAGTATATAACTCAAATACTAAAATGTCAAAATCCTTGCAACCTACTCCTAGACATCTGTATTCTAGTTATTTAGCACTACATACGTAGTATTTTATTGACTAAATTCTAAAAAGTAATACGGACTAAAATTAAAAGGAGATTAAGAGAGAAATCCTAGAGACAGAGATTTGTCGAGGTGGGCGGCGACTCGGCGAGGCATTCAATAGACGAACGAGGGTGGGCTGGGAGTCACGTTCAATCATCAAATCGCCATTGTCACTGCGTCTCTGGTCAATTTGGCTCTTGCAATGCAGATTCGTTCGCTGGGGAGTGGGGATTGGGAGGAATCACCAAATTTGAGATGTGGAGGGACTTGTTAGGTGTTGTTGAGTTGTTTTCTATGGAATTGAGTTTAGGAGTTTGTATTCTACACTTCAACTACACTTCAACTACCAATTCCGAGTATTACTAATACTACGTACTTCTTATTTGATGCCCTCCGCCGATACGAGGCCCTAGGCAACCGCCTGGGCTGACTGGCCCCAAAGCCTCCACTGACCGGCCGGGGGTTCCATTGTCTATGGTGCACGATTGTTTACCAATTTATTACAGCTTTACACCAAGTGACCAAGGTGGTTAGAATCTTTTTCGAACAAGATTACGGAGTACTCCGTTACCCTCCGTAACTATTTAAAGAAAAAATATTTAAAGAAAAAAGAGTGTTACTCTTTGGTAAAACGTCAGATGGAAAGTGACTCGCGAACAAATACGATAGTAAGAGCTACCGAGTCTATCTTTATCACCATTAGATATGCTTTATTTTCCTTCTATTTTCTTTGCTATGATTAAAGACAGATGCTTGACAGTCCACATCTTGGTCGGTGGCTCTCTCTAAGAAGCTCCGACATGGCGCCGCTCCAATGCTTTCTTCTCTGTATTGTTTTCTTCACCTGGGCTTCTGCTAATGTTCAAAGTGAGCTCAATCTTTTTTTCTTCACTACCCTTTGAAATGCTAGTTCTTCTATGTGTATGTAGCTGCATATCGTCATTGCAATGTCTTGTTAGTATATACGACTATACGTAGTACTTTATAACAACTTATACACACACACACATAATTAGTGTATTGATATATTAACATTGGATCTTGACACTTGGAATGAAAAGTGAAGGGATTGAGTTTTTAATTGTCCATTGATCCAGATCAGTGTTTGGGTTTGTGTATTTGTACTGTATTTTTTAGATCTGAGCATGGGTTGGGAGATAATCTTCACATGGTGAGGACATGAGGTAGCTGAAATCATAGATCTTTCTGTTTACTTTTAAAATGTTATTTACATTGAGGTTCAATGAATGCTTGAGGAAGTTGTTGAAATATTTGAATTTGGAATTTAGCTGGGCGCTCTTATTTGCTTTGCATCAGCATTATGTTTTTTTCTCAATGAAGCGTGTTGCAGTACTGAAGATTCTTGGGGTGATTTAGGGCTTGGTGGTTGGGGGATTTTTGAGAGAAGTGGAGGAGTGTAATTTATTATATTGATTTGTTACTCTTAGAATAGGAATTGATTATGTGTTTTGCTAAGTCATGCCCGTTCTCTTTCCAGCCATAAAAATGTAAGAATACGTTCATAAAATAAATATCAACCCTCCCCTGGTTCCACTCTGAAATCCACAACCAAACAAGTGCCAAATTTCCTGATCAAAGTTTGATTGCTCTATTGAGACTTGATTTAAAAAATACTGTCCAAATTTTTATTGTGTCTACATTCTATTAATGGAAGTGCTGGTCAGCGGTCATCTGATTTTAGCAATCAATAGAAGACTAAAAGTATTTTTTTTAATATAGAGAGATAGTAAGCATTACTTGCAATGCCAATACTAAAACTTCTTAAATTTATGTTTAAAATGTAGTATCACTTAAACAACAGTATATTTTTTTGTGTCATGGTGTCATCCCATACTGAGGGTCTCACAAGAAACTTACTCAAATTAGATATTTAAATCTCTCTCCTGCAAATTTGTGTTCTACTGTTCCGCATTCCTATTTTGGCATTTTCTATAATTAGCTCCAATCAAGGTTTTGCAGTTTTGCACTTTTGCTAATGGTTGGAATAGCTGGAAAAGGACAGATTGGGATCTATTTATTCTTTATGTGCCGTATTCTGGATCAGGTTTTCTGTACCATATTGAGTTCTTAGCGTGCGCTGTGATGTGGTTGCTTGTAAGCTAAGTTGGTTAATTGTGAATGGTTTTGGATTGGTTGGTTGTATTCAACCGCTGCATACAATTGAGGATCAAATCCTGCTAATAACTACAGTCCTCAATATGTGTATCATAACTTGAGTTTAATCATAAGTGATGAATCTAATACGAGTAGTCTAATGCTAATATGTAAGTTTATATTTTTGCATTTGGCGTAAATGAAATAGTTTAGCAATGTGAGTCTTTACATTGATTGTTATGCACACAGTATATTGAGTTCTAAATGCACAAGTATTTCTCAAGATGGAAGCTTGAAATATTCTTAGGGAAAATTAATTCAAATACTAAACTATGGGACGTGTGAAGATGGAACCTCAATGTGTGAAAAATGTATCCTGACTTCCTGAGATTTATATAAAAGGTGATCTCAACATCACGGTCGTAAATTATCTATTCACAAATGTAAATTTATGAAACTAAGGGTTAACTTGAACTTAGTACCCTAAATTTACATTTATGAAAAAAATCTACGATCATGATATACGGATCATCTATAATATACTCGTATAATTCAAAGAAGTCCTAATTAGGCTGGAAAAAAATAATTCAAAGCATTTATATCGCACATTGGAGTACCAAGTTCACACATTCATAGTTGGGTGCATTAGAATTATTTTTCCCTGTTTTTAACTAAAAATCATTTCGAACCATTGGTTTCCAGATGCAAATGCAGTTATTAGAGTGACAGACAACCCTGCTGATGAGCTGGTAGATGCACTCAACAAGAATAGGACTGCAAAGAAATTGCCTTCCCTAAACAGCAACCCAGGACTGGCATGCATAGCTCTGCAATACATAAAAGCTTATCAAGGTGATTGCAAATCTGTTGGTGGAGAAGGCTCAGAAGCTAAGAAACCTCTTGATTCTGAATTTAATGAGACATTTGCCCCCAATTGTGGCGTTAAAGTAAATACCCTTGCTCACATAACTGGGCGTTTTCTCGCCTGCCAGTCTGAGTATGTGGAGTCGCCGGATGCCTTCTCGCATATCCTGATTAGAAACCAGAAAAGCTTTGATATCCTCTACAGCAAGAATCACACTGAGGTTGGTGCTGCTGTGAGTGGCACTGATCATGGCGGTCCGTATTTCTGGTGTGTTCTGTTCAGCAATGGGAAATCAAACCAAAGCTTTGTTTTAGACGGGGGTGTGGCGAAGCTGACAAAACCTGGATGTTTCAGCGGTGCGAATGATGATTGCAGTGAGGCTTATGCTCTTTCTCAAACCTTCCTTCACCCATGGCTAGTTGCTGGTGGAGCTTTGCTTTCCCTCTTCTATGCTTTTGGATCAGGATGATCATCCTCCATGCTTTCAACCCTCATGGATTGTCAGTTGCTCCGCGTTTGGTATCTTTTGTATGTGATGTAGGAACTTCTTCAGCATCTATTCATTCAGTTTTATTTGTAAAGGCTGTTTATTTATTGATCTCATGCATTTGTTTTTGCTCAAACATAGAAAAATTTGCTCAAAGTGAGACTAGAAGGTGACATATACTCCCTTTTTCAGAGATTTGTTTGTCCTACTATCCTTTTTAGACGTCTCAAAATAAATGTCATTTTTCTTTTTTATTCAATATCTCAACCATATTTTTATTTTTCAATCATTTAATTTATAATTTATCAAACTGAAACAAGACATTTAAAATAAGGAGGGAATAATCGTTCTCAAATCAAATGTAATGGAACATATTGGTCGTTTTCCCTACTTTATTAGTAGTAGAGTAGTAGAAACCTAATTGGTATTTGTTTTTCTAGAACTCATATAGTCATATCTATCAAGGTGATTTGTGTCTAAAAGCTTTTGTTAGTAATGTTACTCCCACGTACTTTTGTCTCGAAAAATTTGGCCATATTAATTTTTCTTAGGGGTGGATTCGGTTCGGGCCACCCGGCCCGTGACCCGGCCCGACCCGGTACTGTGCGGGCCCGGGACCGGCCCGGTCGGGCGGTCCGGGACCGGGTGTAGACCCGAACCGGTAGGTATGGGTGGGGCGGGCACAGTTCCGGAAAAATACGACCCGGCCGGGCTGGGTCGGGCCCGGGGCCGGGTCCAACGGTCATATTTTAAAAAAAAATTAAATGGCTACTAGCCGTTATGGGTGGGCTGGGGACAACCCAAACGGCTACATAGCCGTTGGGTGGGTCTTGGGGGGGTCCGGGGGGTTGGGTGGTGGGGGGTGGTGGTGGTGGGGGTAAAAAAACATATAAATACTCCTAATCTTAAACATTTTTTCATATCTCTTCTCCAATTCTTCCTAAATCCTATTCTTAACTCTCTACTCTCTAATTCTCTTATTCTCCAATATATTATATTTATTATTTATATATCTACTGCATAGTTTATACTTAAGAAGTTAAGATGGAAAATCAAGATGCCATTATACGGTATAATTTTGATAAGCAGAAGGACCCGAAGACCGGGATGTGGTACGCAACTTGCAAATGGTGCGAGAAAAAATGTAGCATGGGGGTTTCAGGCGGATACGGGATGACAATCAATCATATGAAGTCACGTGACAAAGCCAAAGGATCGGGAGGTGCGGGAAGTTCCGATTGATTACAATTTTCAAAATGTTTGTCTCTTAAAGTTTGTTTTTATTTTCAAATGTAGTTCCTATTTCATTTCAAATAAATGCACTTGAAGCTTGTTTTTAATACTCGTATAAAACTATAAACTATAAAATATAAATTATAAAAAAAAACGTTAACCGGCCCGCCCCGAACCGGACCCGACCCGTGACTAGGGGTGGGATTTTGGAACCGGGAACCGTTAAAATGGTTGGAACCGAAGCGTTATAACCCGGTTCGGTTCGGTTCCTACAAATGAGGTATTAGTTGTTAACGGTTCGGTTCCTAGTTGTTGTTAACGGTTCGGTTCCCGGTTCCTATAAAAAATATATGCACGGAACCGTTAAGGAACCGATATTAAAAAAAATAGTAGCAGTATTCGTGATAATACTAATATAACAAAAATAAACACAACAACAACAACAACAATAATAATAATAATAAATGAATGATATTTAGCCAATAATTCTAATTTAATTTAATCTATGAAAACAAAAATAATAAATATTTGCACATGAGGTTGAATACATTAAGCTCATTTTTACAAATCAAGTTTTGTTCCATCAATAGGAGTAGAATGTAGTGATGCTTTTATATTTGTACATGCAAACTCAATGTATTTCTAGGTTTTGAGAGGCATAAAGTGTACTCCTATCCTTGCCACTATAATGATGAGCAACCTTCATTTTAACGACATAACCAACGATTTTTATATTTTATGTATTAAATGAAAATTAAAATCTTCTTTTTATTCTATTATGTGTTCACTTAAGTCTGAGCTTTGATGTTTGGAGCGATTAGAACTCTAAATAAATGTTTATGACTTGTTGACTTTTGACGTTTTCATGTGGTAGAAGCTAAACTATGTGTAAATTCTTACACGAAAAAAATTATTCTAGGAACCGATAAAAGCAAGAACCGAACCGTTTAGTATTGGTTCGGTTCCATATCGGTTCTTGATTTTTATATAGGAACCGAACCGATTTCATTTGTTAAAATTTAAATAGCGGTTCCACTATTTTTGAGTAAGAACCGAACCGGTCCCATGCCTACCCGTGACCCGGGCGGGTGGCCCGGCCCGAACCGGACCCGTCCAACCCCCGGGCCGGTCCCGGGCCCATGTCATACAAACCGGCGGCCCGACCGGGCCCGACCCGGCCCGAGTCCACGACTAATTTTTCTTGATCACTAATGATCAAGTTGGATAAATGATATTTTTCAACATGAAATTATCTAGAATATGAAAATGTTTTTTGTTAAAATTACTATAATAAAAGTATAAAATTTATTTTTTAGAAGAAAATAAATTAATTGCTATTAATCAAATCAAAGTTCAATACATGACTAATAAAGCTAGGTGGGTTAGACCACCAAACACGGCTATTAGACAAAGAACAAGCCACTCCAGCTAGGGATGGACTCGGGCGGGGTGGCTCGACCCGGAACCGGCCCGAAACCGGTACTGTTTCGGCCCGACCCGACCCGGTGGCTCGGTCAGTGACCGGTCCGGGTAGGGCCGGCCCGTGGGTTTTCCGGTCCGGGCTCAGGTCACCCAAAACGAGGCCCGACCCGGCCGGGTTCGGGCCAAAAACTATTTTTTTCTTCAATTTCTTTTAAATTTTCAGGTTGGGCCGGGTATTTTGGGCCATTTGGGGTGGTTTGGGGGGTTGGAGTGGGAGGGAGGTTAATTAGGAAGAGGAAAACAAAAAAAATGATAATGGGCCCGGCCCCGCCCGGCCCCGCCCGGACCCGGTGGTTACCCGGGCCGGTCCCGGGTCCACCATTTCTGAACCGCTGGACCGCCCGGGCCTAGGCCCGACCCGGACCCGAGTCCAAACCTAACTCCATCTAATTCGTGAGCGACTCTATTCGCTGATCGCCTAATGTGAGAAAATGGAGTTCCTTAAACCCCTAACACATCTCTTTAATATCTCCAGCAAATATTTCCGTAGTAGAAATACTGGACCCTCCTCGGATTTCAGTAATAGCATGTAGAGCATCTGATTCAACTTCCACAAACTCCCACGACTGATCCTTCAACCAGCTAAGAGCTTCATGAATTCCCAGTAGTTCAGCTTCCAAAGAAGAAAAATTTATGAACCAAGATTTAGCACCAGCTGCAATAAACTCATTTCTCCTCTCGTACAACCGCATCCACATTCAATCTAACAAACCCCACCGCCGATCGTTTCCAAGAACAACCCAAGCTCTGCTTTAGTGCTTTGGAGGTAAATCCACCCTCTTCATGTGCGCCTCCAACAGCCATCAATGAAGCTTTTAGTTTGAGAAACAAGTTGAGATGAAATCAACCTGCTATGATTCCACACTCTCTTGTTTCTTTCAGTCCAAACCCCCCAACATCCCCAAGCCAACCTCTGTAAATCTTCTTTTTTTTACCACCTGAAAAGCTTGCTTAAACCATTCTAAAAAAGAGCCACCTGACCGACCAACCTGATTGGAGTTCCTCCAGCCTGCTGCTCCCCAGAACTCAATCGCCATCAGACATCGGACAAACAAGCGCAGCAGCGACTCGTCGTCGGATCCACACAGGCCACATTTCATCTGGCAGTCCACCTTGCGACAGACAAGGTTGTTCGTGGTTGGGAGACAGTCAACACAAACCTGCCAGAAGAAAGATTTAATCTTTGGGGGAAGCCGCCAATTCCACATCACAGTCCAATAGTCCATCCCGTCTAAGAATTAACCTCGACCTCACCCATGAGCTTCTGATAGCAACTCCGAACAGAGAATTTCCCGTTATCCTCCCACCTCCAGATCAATTTATCAGGTACCTTCCTCATGCTAATGGAAATGCTTTGAATTAATTTTGTGTCTCTATGATTAAACAAGTCCCGAATGATATCTACATCTCATTCCCCAGTTTGACAGCACATCAGATTGCTAACCAGCGTGTTTTCGAGGCCCTCAATTGGAGCTGATGAAACGTATTAGCATTAAAGTTGCTCTAAGTTGTAGGCACATCACACATCTTTCATATTTTTTAGGAGACTCGCCGATATATTTGACGGCTTTCCATAATTTAGTAAATAGTTTTAATCAAATCCTAATTTCTTAAATACTTTTTAAATTAACATGTGTTAGATGTGTGACTGTGTGAGTGATATTCCCGAAACTTTTAAATATTCCAGGTAGAAATGTACTCGGTAGAATACATCCGAATGTTCACACTCATTAAAATTGAAACTCTTTCACTTCCTCGGTCATTAGTCATTACTACGAACTTTTTCAGATTTCCTAATTTTCTCCATATTTTCTTCATTTTAATTAATTAAAAAAATGAAAGCATTTTTCTGTGCAACAATGTTATCTACCATTCTACCTTTCTTTGTCCAGATTCATAGAGGGGAGCATACTGGTTGATCTTTCATTTTCGAGGGACTAGGGGTTCAGGATAACTCCAACGCCGCCTGTGGGAGGTGATTGAAGTAGCCTGTGACTGGAGGAGCTCTGCATATCCGAGTCCAAGTCTTTGGGGATGGAAGAATACTAATCACTCAATACTAAATCGTAATAAGGTTTGGGAACGAGTATATCATGAGTGCGGTTCTGGCGACGTCGAGGTCGGAATTGGAGTTGGATCGACCCAATCTGGAAGACTATCTCCCCACTGGATCTTCTATCCATGAGCCTCTCGGCAAGCTTTGCCTGTACGTCTCTCCCCTTTCAACGAGTAGATACTGGCTGTTTATCATTTTCCTAACTTTCTTCTTGATGAATCATCTTTCAGGCGAGATTTACTGGACATTTCGCCTACTCTGACTGAGGCCGCTGGTGCTATTGTTGATGTGACTACCCCTCTCTTCTTAGTTTTAGCTTTAAGTTTTACTTTGCCGTATCTGTTTTTTTTTCGTGTTTTTTATCGCTCGGTTTCTTATCCTTATTTTATATTTTTTCCTAATCGTTTACCGATCTTCTCTTTTTATAAATTTTGTTGCTTTGCGGTTAGTGTTTGGATTCAATCTGTACTTTCCCTCTGCAGGATTCTTTTACCAGATGCTTCAAG